TCAGGCCCGGGGGTCCCGCTCGGGCCTGTCTGGGTCGGGGACACGCCTCCGACCCCCCATCCCATTCCTCCCTGTGGAAACCCGGCGGAGAGCCCTGCGGGCGGGCCTGGGGGCAGGCCTTGAGGGTCGGTCGTGAGCGCCGCGGTGCTACCAAGGCGCCGTAGCTGGTGGACTCGGGACTGTGGCCTGGGGCTATCTGTTTATTTGCGTTCAGCAGCAGTGTTTCCTTGCTGGGAAAGCTGAGCGAGGGCGGTGGAAGGACCTAGAGGTAGCAGCTGAGGCTCAGAGCATTCATTTCAATCGAGAATGTTTCCTTCCTGTGCTTTATCTTGTTTCCTGCCTGCTTAAAGAATGCCACCCTCTTAATACCCTTGAGAGGAGGCATTGCTTCAGATGTGTTGTATCCCTTTAAAGGTTGGTTTTTGTTTTGCACAGCGTTACTACATGCATTGGCGGTTCCTGGCTCTGTAACTGGCTTGCTCTTTTTGACAAATAGTGGCAAAAAAGCTTTTATCCATACATGCGTAGCTTGAACAATAGGTATGTTATCTATAGGTACATTAACTGATTGCTAAAGACGCATGGCCAGAATTGACTGAAGAGAAAGGATGCCTGTTACCTAAAAAAGAGTTCAGAGCAAAGCAAGGACCTGGCAGGCAACTGCCTGAACTTGAAAGCTGTAGAGGTTTGGTAGTTAGTATTGTACTGAAGTGGGAGATTAGGAGTCTGCGTGCTTGCCTCTAGCTAATGCTGTTGAAATGGCAGCATTAGTGGATGCTTGCAGTTTATCAGAAATCAGGAAAAGCTGAGGAAAAAAATAAAAGGATGTTTCTAATAACGCAATGTATACTTCGGTATTTTCTTGTAAACATTAAGTACTGTGGCTTGAATTCACCATATCCTGATCTGTCTCTACTTGCATGGAATGCACCACTCCCTTTAAGCCTTTCCTGGAGCAAGCCATTGTCTCTTTACCCTGGAATTCAACTGAAGAGGCTTTAATTGCTACTGTCTGAGGGCTGTACAAAAAAAAGTCCATGCCTGAAGATAGAAGAGGAAAGGTTTTAGAGATTGAATGTGTCTGAAATTAGTAGGGAATGTGGATGTGAAATGTCTGAAACAAGTAGAGAATGCAACTATAAAATGAACACTGAGCATGTGAAGGACCTAGGACAAATGGGTTAAGGAGTGTGTGCAAAGTAATAGGCTTGGCTGCCTGGAGTGGCCAGCTGCACCAAGAAAGCTGTAGAGGAGATGGGCTTCCAAGTACTGGATTCTTGAAATAAGATGGGAGACAGAACCAGAAAGAATTTGTTGTGGGGTTCTTAATTCATAGTTTATCATACAATAAATACATTTCTAATTTGCATGAGATCGGAAGTAATCCGTTATCTTTCATCTCTGCCTGTCACCAGGGCCCCCCCTACGAAGCAATCTCTCAATACCTGAACATCAGTTATGCAGATTATTAATGGGACGGCAAAAGATTTTGGCCCCATCGGCTCAGGACAGTTTTATTTATAGGACTATAGGACACTTACTAAGGCATTTTTTTTCATGCTTCTTCCCACTTAGCTTTCAATACATTCTAGGCAAAGAATACAATGGGTTTTTTAAAAGCTTGCATTTTTGTAGGGTAGAACATGTTTATGGACTGCACCTTCTCTGAGCATGTAGCTTCAGTGGGGAGGAAATGGCTATCTGTCTCCTTCACTGAAGAAAACAATGACTGTGAGCAGTTTTGACTCTCCATTGTAAAATGAATAGTTACCCATTCAGTTTTCTCACTTCACTATCCCCAAGTCTCTTAGACTTCCAGTGGGAATAAAGAGTTAAAATCATCCAGTGAAATGGTGATTTTACCATCCTCTCAAAAATCTTACCTAGTACAGTCTGCTTTTGAGATACTTAAAAAGAATGTATAAGTTTCACCTGGTTAGATACATCCATTTGTTGGTTTAGAACTGCATTTGCACAGCCATTAAGCAGCATAGATGACAGAGTATATCCACATCCTTGGCCCTTTGTCCTCTGTCCTCAAGCCTTTTTTTTGAAGTTCACCCATAGAAATAAATCTTAACAAGGACACCCTTTTTATCTTCTGGTCTGCTTCTACCACTTCCTTTACATTCTTGCCATGTTTCATGCAACTACTAAGAACCTGGGTTTAAAACTGGTAATGGTATTGCCAAGTCCTAATGCATTACATAAAATCTTGTCCTCAGGCAAGGCTTAAGACTAGATTTTTAACCCCTTTCTATAAATCTATAAATCTCTTGAATACTCTTTTCACTACCTTCTGACAGGTGTCATTACCCGATATGGTATTTTTGTTTAAAAATCTGAGTAGTCCTTTAGAGCTGACAAGGTAACATTTCTCAGGGAGTTTTGAGCTGTTTGTTTTAATGACATGCACAATGACAATTCCATGTTTCAGCAACTAATTGGTGTTTTGTGTTTTTAAACATGTGCAATCTATAAAACTGACAGATTATTTGTAAAGAGGAAGTTACGTATTTTTGCAGTGCCTCAGGATAAAAAAAAATTTTTTTTAGATGTATTGCAACTCACCTGAGTAAAATTTTTATCTTTTGTGACTTCGTATCATCCAAGAGTGATTAGTATATTTGAGATTCAAAGTACTGTAATACTGAAACTTGATGGTTAACTTTTAGAAATTTGGAATTATTTATTTCAAAGGAGATGCCTCAAAGAAAGAAAAGGCAAAACTTTCAAACAATAAGATTCTTTAAAGTGAACTGATTACTTATGTAACCAGAAGTTGGAAGATGTGAAAGTTAGATGGTTTCTAACTGTAGCAGTTGCAAAACTGGTGAATGAATATTCAGAACTCTTGAAACTGGAGCTCAAGAATTATTAGGTTGAGTTATATGTAGACTGTCAGTGATTTAAAAGCTTACCTTTCTTATAAATTCTTTCCATCCCCTTGTTCGAGTTAGAAACAGGCTTCACACAGATCCACTGCAGAACGAAGAGGTGGCTTAACAAATAAGTTTAGTTTTATGATATTGCAGAACTGAAACAAGTAGACATGTGAAAGAGTTGGAGTATACACTGATCTGGTAAGGAAAGTTGCCAGAACAAGTACTGGAAATGTATGTGCTCAAGTACATAGCTGGAATGGTGACTTTTTTTGTTACTGTTCCTGTTATTTTTTGCTTGGTGCTCTGGACAATAGAGTAAAACACAACAGCTGAGAGCTTCTGATTCTTCAGTGGCTGCCAAGAGTTAACAGGACTGTATTTGGAAAAATCACTCTCTCCCTAATGAGGAAATAACAGTGCTTCATACCAAAATAGAGCATTGTTGTAACTACTACAACTGGTAACAAACAAAGAATCAGTTATTTGCCTGAAGCATTATGGCACATCAGCAAGAACCAAGAGTGGGTGTCTGTGGAGCTGATACTCAAAGCCTCAATTAGTAAGGACTTTACCCACGTTGATAATAATTACTATTAATAATAAGTGGTACTGTAATGTACTTTGAAAAGTACTTTACATGTTAACTAATCCTCAGGGCTCTTTTGTAAAGCGGGCAGGTAATAGGAGAATCTGGGTTCTGAAAGTGGTATGATTGTACATCCTGTAAAGTTCAGGTGCTCAGGGCTAAATACCAATGGTCTGTTTTTCATTGGCGCTTAGGTTCAGTTGCTCTTGTTTCAATTACATGGGTGAATATGCATTTATTGCAAAGATCAGGCTGGGCTCCTAACTTGGCATAACTTCAAAATCAGAAACACCTCGTCACATACAAATTATGCACAACGCCAGTAGCAATGAATCCTGTTTTTCTTGTTAGGTGTTCTGTTACCCAACATTTAGACTGTGGCACAATTTGTGAATGGAGTAATTTTTATTCTGTTTTAACAAAATTCTTAAATCTACAGGAAAATGTTAACCTGAGGTATTATTCTCATCTACCAGTATATATTTATTTTTTTCCTCTCCTGCTTTCTTGTTCCTACTAGTTTTTGTAAGTTGATGTATGTACATTTTCTGTCTTCAGGGTGTGCAGCACACGGACGTTACTTGTTGAGCATGAAGGGGCCTTTTACTCCAAATAAACCAGAATCGTACAAAGTGTGTAATAAAACTTGAAACTTCTCTTAACAGAGATTGGCAGCTGTTGTGCTGGTGCATTTGTTGTTTGTAAAAAGCTCAATTTTTTACTCAGTTCTGTTTTGTTGGATATGCTTATTATAGCACAGGACTTGCAAGACAGGCTTATATTTGACAGTGGTAAAATGGTGACTTCAGGATCCTTTCTATTACTGTTTTTCAGATCTGGTGTTACTTTATCATGCTTGACATTTATTTTTACTTCCCCCCCCTTTTTTCTTTTCAAGCCTGAAAGTTTTGAGTCACTTCAGCAGAAAAGATAATTACTTTCTAACCACTTAAAATGTTAATGTTGGTACTGTTCCTGTTTGTATTACCATCGGCTCCCAAATCTTCACATTGTTTAGAAATACATTCAGCCACCAGACCCGTGGTATTAGTGAAATCCTGGCCGGTCCCAGTATCAGATGAATTTTCTGAGGATGTTGTAAATTATCTCGTTACACTGCCTTTCCGTCTGTGTCACTCGTGTTACATAGACCTTGCAGACTGGCCCTTGGGGGAAGGACGTGAAATCAAAGTCAAGTCCCGATGGCGAAAGCAGCCAGTGTTTAAATCCGCGATGCGGGCGGTGGAATCGTCCCCGCGGGCCGGGCCTTGCCCTACCCGGCCCCGCAGGCTTCCTCCGAGCCAGGCTACTTCTGCGGAGGAAGCTCGGAGGTTGGCGTTGGTAGAACAACGCGAAAAATTTCTGGCCAAAATGCGGTATCTAAGCATTTGTGAAGCTGGCGGAGACGCAAGTATTTGCCCTTATTCGCTTGGGGGAAGGGCGTATTTTCCGACCGTTTCCTACGGGCG